TTCATGTAAGTATCCGGTACACAGGTATTAGATAAATGTCGCCTTTTATTACTGCAAACATCATTTACTAAGATACTGTTTTTTTTTAAAATCCTCTTGTCCAGACAATACAATATTATTCAGTGTTAAAAAAGAAATGGGTCGTAAAGCCATGGAGAGACACAGAGGGGATGTAAGTGCTGATTATTCCGTGAAAGAAGCCAAGCTGAAAAGGTTTCCACACTGTGGCATTCCAACTGCATGACGTCCTGGAAAAGACAAAACTATGGAAATAATAAAGGCATCGGTGGTTGCCTGTGGTTAGTGCAGAGGGAGAGGAGAACAGGCAGAAGAGAGCAACTTTAGGGAAGTGGAGCTGTTCTGTATGTCACTGTCTCGGGGGAACACAGGGCCCGATCTCTTGGGCCAAACCTGGAGCACCCTGAGGCCAGCAGCAAACACTGATGTGAACTATCGCTTGGGGATGAACGATTCACAATAAAGGCTTAGCAAGTAGGAGAGACACATGAGAACGTTCAATTTTATTGCGAGCCTAACTCATCTAAAAAAAATCTGGATTTTTTTGTTGTTGTTGTTTTGTTTGTTTTTTCTTTCTGGTTTTTTGAAATAGGGTTTCACTATGCAGCTCAGGCTCGCTTTGAATCCACCATATGGCCTAGGTTGGCCTTGAACTCACAGTGATTCTCCTGCCTCAGCCCTCGAACGTGACGATTAGGGCTGCACCTCAACATCAGGCTTATATCTTTTAAAACCTCTTGGAGGAGGAGCCGTTGGGCCCTAAAATCAAATTTTATAATTGGAGGAAATGCACGTGAAGGGGCACTGAAGGGATACAAGAAAGATTATTCTCGAATGCCTGTATTGTCCACAGGGGCCTGTCTTTAGCCTGGTGCACACTCATGCATGGCATGTGCGTTCCTGTGTGCACGCATGCATGTACGCAGGCCAGTGCATATCTGTGCTGTCGCTTCCTGTGATCCCTGGAAGCCTGCAATTAGCCTCGAGACGTTAGCTGAGGTGGCAGGGCCTTGTCACCTCCAGGCTCTGCCAGCCCGGTTTTCCTCCTTGGGTCCTTTCGCTCTTCCATTTGCCAAGCACATGATCTAACAGGCAGGAACGCCTGGCCAAGTCTTAATGCTACCGGGCAGGCTGCACAAGGGCTCTACTGTCTCCTGGACGTGTCCTTGGGCCCGGGACAGGCTGCCGCATCCGGTACGTTTCTCATCTATGAAGCCCTACAGGGCCAGGTGACCTTGGACTTTGCAACATAGAGTGAACGTTGGTGATTGTTTATCAGTGGTCGTCTGCCCTCGCCGGCGTCAGCCTCCAGTGACGAGACTGCGAGGCCACACCCTTAAGCCTCTGCTTCGCACCTGTCCCTCTGCCTTGGTTGCTACTTTTTTTTTCTTTTCTAATGTCATGTTATTCTACCTAGTAGGGCATGGGCTTTTTTAAAATTTTCCTTGTCTTCTGAACTTTAGGTGAAAACCAATACCCAGTGCCTATCCTAAAGCTTGTGTTTAAATTACTGCACATACATCCCAACATGGGTTCTGGGCCCTGGATCAGTACTACCATTACCACAGTAGCCCACACACTCCTGCCCACATGGAACACTAAATACGACACTGATGGTCACACAGCACACAGGTTGAGAAATTAGTTGGATACTTTCATTGCAACAGGCCACAGGTTCAACGTCTATGATGAAAATAATATCCAGTAAATGGTGGAAACTCTGAATTAGCTCACCATATCACCCAAGGTCGATACGACTGACTACCAAATAAAATATTCTGATCATCCCTTCCGTACTTGGATTCTTTGAAAACTGGCAGGGACCCCATGGGGAAATTACTATTCAGTCAATAAAGTTGATCCCTTTTAACGGTCTAACGTCTGGGACCACAAGAGAACCTCCCCTGGCCAGAAACACAGATTCAAAATCATTCTTTTGCTCCTCGAGGCACATTTTGAAAAATGTATGGATTATGATGTGATGTCACTTTGTGACCTGGTTAATGAAAAATTCTAGCACCAAGGCCACTTCTAAGAAGCCGCTTCCTGGGAACTCGCAAGGTACTGTGTCTCCAGACACTCACTCTGCTTAGTGCATACTTATCCCTGTCTCAACATTGTAAGTGCTTTTTGTCTAGAAACCCTGTTCCCCAGGTCCCTCTCAGGTGAGGCCCTGCCTGCCTCATAGCAAGTCTTCAGCCAGCGTCATCATAAGGAACAGCACACAGCAAGCAGGACCTAAACTTTTCTCTGCAACCCACCTCTCTGTCAGGGGGAAAGGGCCCGCACTCCTAGCAGATAGGACTAACCCCGGGAGATAGGACGGTGTTTGGAATAAGCACAGCCATCACATGCACACCATCAGTCACCAGGATAAATGGGCAGAAGCTACAGTTAGAAAAGTGTGTTTCTGGGCAGCAGATAAAAACAGGACTTAACAAAAATACTTGTTGCGCCACTGAATTATTTGATGAATTATATCTCCAGGTTATTTCAAGTTTCCCAAACAATCACTTAGTGATTGTTCCAACTCCCAAAAGGAGTGTGTGTGTGTGTGTCTGTGGGGGGGTTCTTTCAAAGCAATAAAAGGAAGGTGGGCGGCTTTCAATTCTTCATCAAATCCGCTTAAAAGTACACAGCGTCATCCTTTCATAGATTAGTCATAGCAAGGCTGTGAGGGCAGGTTAAAACGTACTTGTCTGGAAGAAAAGAACAGGGAGAAAAACAAAACAGAATAAAATAAAGTTGAATAGTTGTGGGTTTTTTTCCTCCTTTTGGGAAGGAACTTTAAAACCCTGGTGGACCAAACGCCTCCTGTCTCTCTTGAGAAGCCCTCCCAGGCAGAAGCGAGTCCAAGAATAACAGCGGCTCTCAGGATGCTCAAAGCTTCTTGCAGCTGATTATTTTTCAGGAGGAGAATTAGACAAAAATAATACAAGTGGGAAATAAAGCGAATGACCTACTTTACAGGGGGGAACGGAGTTCAGCGCCAGCGTTTTGATCTAATGACTGTGGGGTTGCAAGCCCAAATAAGGCTTGGCTGGGTGAGGGCAGAGCCTAGCCAGACCCTGAGACTATTTGGGGAGCCACCCTCAGTCCCTGCTGGGGCAGAGACCTTAGGAGACCCCTTCTGGCCACAAAATATGACAAGGGTGAGGGGTATGAGGGGGACTTTCCTTTCCAAAACCACTTGCTGGCACGCGCTAACTACATGCTCCACAGGGTCGTGCCCAGTGGGAAGGCAGAATGTGCGCCAAGAAATGTACCTAAGCAGTGTCAGTCCAGAGGTGACCTTCGTGGGTGGGGGCGGGGACGCCTCCGCTCCGGGGCGTCCACTCGGTGCCACCCCGCTGGAGCCGGGGGTGAGGGCGTGGGGGGGAAGACCTGCGGGCTCGGTGGGCGCATGGTCTCCCTTTTTCTTTACCCGACGGGGGCCTGGAGCCCAGCCTAGCATCACACAGCGGCTGCCGGCTCCTGGGGATCATGGACGCGCATCTGTCTGCGCTCGCGTTCGCGGGTTCTTGCTAAAACCTCCCTGTTTCGCGCGCGCGCCTGTCTCCAGCTTCTCTTTTTCTTGGATTCTCGCCTGTCTCCTCCCACAGAGGAGAAAAAAAAAGGTCACGTATGTTTGGAAAAATATGTAGGTCAGTGGAACATTTCCTGCACTGGTGCAAAGGAGAGGAGGGCGGCGGGGGAGGGGAGGGAAAGCGAGCCTGGCTCTGCGCGCGCGCGCCCGGCCGCAGCCCCGCGCCCTGGTCCAGGGGGTTCCGGGGGCGACCAGCAGGTCCTTGTCCATCCTTGACCCATTTCCTAGACTGGCTACTCTGCCGCCTTGGAACAGGCACTGCTGATTCCTCCGGGGCTAACGGCGCCCACCCTCGTCTCCTGATCCCGACTCCCACCCCGCTGCCCCAAGAGAAATCGAAACGGTGCCCGCAGAGACGCGCCCCGTGCCCTAGGTCTGGGCCTCGCGCAGTGCGGACAGAGTCAAGATCGGCGTGGAAGGGGTGACGGTGACGCGCTCGTCTTCCTCCCCACGCGCGGGACAGAAGATCCTGTGCCTGCCCCGAATGACAACTTTCACGGGACGTGGGCTGGCAGCCCCGCATCGTGTCCCCTACCGCGATCTCGGCCCGCTCACCTCGAAGCACAGTCCCCACCCCCACCCCCGCGCCCTAACCTCTCATTCCCGCCCTGCGCCCAGCCCCGACCCGCGCGTCCCTGGGCGGCGATCCTGGGGGTGCCCCGGGTCTGCGCCGCTGGGGATCCCGGGGTCCGCGGTGCGAATCTCCCACGCCGGGTCCTGGCCCACGCAGACCCCCAGCGGCGGCGCAGGGAACGAGGAGGGAGAAGAGGAGGTGGAGGAGAAGAGGGGGGAGGAGGGGGAGGAGGAGGAGGAGGAGGGGGAGGAGGGGGAGGAGGAGGAGGCTGGGCCGGGAGGAGGCGGTGGCGGCTGCGGTCCCCGCGGCGCTGCGTGCGGAAGAGTTTGCCGCGAGCAGCCGGCCTCGCGCAGCACCGGGACCCGCGCGGGGCCGCGGAGGGAGCTCGAGACCGCGGCACCCCGCGACACAGCGCCTCCCGCCGCCGCCCGGAGGAGCTCGCGCCCGCTCGTCGCCCCGCTCGGCCCGGCTCCCAGCGGCGGCGGGAGGCGCGACGCTTGGCCCGGCTCGGCCCGCCCGGCCCGCTCACAGGTAAGGGGCCGCTCCGGCCGCGGGGCCGAGCCGGTGGTCCGCGCGCGCGTGATGCGTGGGGCGCGTGACTCCGCCACCTGCTCCTGGCCGCGGAGGGGCTGGCGGTGGCGCGGCGCAGGGAGCCCGGCGCGGGGCTGTGGGTCCCCTTCCTTCCCTCCCCCGCTCGCATTGGGCCGCCCGGGCCGCGCGTCCCCGGACCGACACCCCCCCCCCAGCCGCCTGCAGACGGGCTCCAAGCGTGTCTCGCCGCAGGACGCAGAGGACCAGCCCCCCGCGACCTCGGAACTTGGAGGTCCTGAAGGGTTGCATCAGGGTAGACAGGGGCCAGATCCCCCCCCACCCCGCAGCAGTTTTGGAGATGGTTTTCTACCCTCATGAGCCCCGTCGCGAGCCCCTCTGAGCGCAGGAGTACCGGGGACGCCCCTAGGGTGCAGCGTCTGTGGCCCCGGGCTCGCGGTGTCTCGGGGACCCTGGGTTGGAAGTGGTTTCAGGCCAGATAGGTTGTTGGGTTTTGCGTGTTTGGAGAGCGCATCGCTAGGCAGCCCCAGGCTCCCCAGGTTGAATGCCAGCGTGCCGCTTTGTTGAGAGGTGTGTCCACTCCCAGAGCCCAAGAAGGGCGCACTTTGACCTTTCTAAAGAGCCATCCTGGGTTAGGGTCCGAACCAGGGGGAAGGGGCACAGGTACCCGGGGGCTCACTTCAAAACCAGTCTCCTTCCTCTGCCTGCTACTCCCCAACTGCTCAAGGTAAGAAAGTTTGCTTTCGGTCCTGTGATTCATGAGTAATTAGTAACCAGTTTTGTTGTTAAGCAAGATGAAATCCTTAAATACACACACGCACTTGCACCAAGTCTGAAACGTCCGTCCCGAGCTTCTCCTGGGGATGGAGGTGGGGGAAGCCTTAGTTGTGAAAGTTAAAAGCCTGGCGTTCAACAGGTGTTTGGGAAGGGGTGCAGGAGCCGAGAGTGATGGCGGTTTCCTGACCCTCGGTTTTGGAATCTGCCTCCAGAGTCATTCATTACAGTGGTTGTTAGCCTGTTTCTTTACAGGTAAAGTATTGAGTAGTTATTAAAATTAATTTAATCAGCAGAGACAAGCTAGTCAGCCTTGATCATTAGAACCCAAATCGTCTTTTCCTTAGTGGAAGGGCTTCTGCCGTTTGGACTTCCCAAGTAATTAGTTTTGAAATTGTTCCTGGCAAGTCTCAGCTCTGTCAACACCTCCGTCTCCTGAAGTTCTGAATCCCCATCCGGTAAATTGAAGGACTGATCGTGGCTTGCCTCAAAAGCAGAGAGCCCTAGTTGGGAATCACCCACCAAATTCAAGGACTTTCTGCTACTGAGCGTTCCTTAGAGGAAAATGTCTGCCAAAATTCACCCCCAAATTTATTTTTAAAATAAAAAAAGATAATGTTTAAAAAGAGTTTTTCTGACCCAGGCCGCTATTTTACAAAGCAAAAATTCAGTGTTTCATTACAGCTAAGCCAGAACTAGTAGCAGTATTGGTATTTCTCAGCAGTCTACTCAAAGATTTAGTTAAAAATAGTGTGCAGCATAAAGACATTCAGTAATTATCTTCCATCTCACAGAAAGACGTGGAGCGTGGCTTAGAGGAATTGTAAATGCTCTGCTTTTAGCCATTTGCTTCTTAGAAATCGATGCCTCTATTTATTTGCTGCTCTGCCCCACTGTGCACAAGTGAGAATTAGTTTATTCTCATGGCTCCCCAGGCGGCTCCTGAGGAGAGGAGGGAAGGGAATATACCCTAGAGGAAATATGTTATTAATATAATGCCCCCCAAGAGTTAACCATGCCAAGAACAGAACCAAATGAGACTTTACTAATTAGTGTGGTTAAAAAAAAAAAAAAAGCATCCTTCCTATGATATGACAGTGTTCAGATGGTAGCTAAGGAATTGATCTTTATATAGAAAATAATTGTTTTTAAACTCATTTGGCATCTTTTAAAATAATTTGGACTCTGTTTTGTATTTCTGGTAGTTTAATAATGAAAATGATAAAAATTATAAAAATGGTAAAAAGAAAAAAGCACATGTCACCTGATGTGTCATTCTTAATTTGAACACATCTTATATTTTTGTGCAGTCTTTCTTAACTCTTTATAATCTTTGTAGCCCTCTCTTAATGCTGCTACTTAGGTGAAAGAGTCAAAGTTCCTGAGTTTCTGGAGATTAAAATAATGTAAGCATGCACTTATAGCTCCATCCTCATCTGTGTTTGTATTTTAGCCTTGCTTGTGAAGCGTAAGCACCTGAATGGATAGATCATCTTTCCCCATTTTTGAGAGAAGTGTGTGCTTTACTCTTGATGTGAATGGCCACTTCCTCCTGGTGATCTCCACACAGATACCACGCATACTTTGCAACCTCTCTCTCCCAAGACAGGTCAGATTGTGAGGCGTTGGAAACAGCCTGGTGATTCAGTATTCTTGGCTGCTTTATGCCAGCAGTTTAATGGCTGGATCATAGCAAGCATCTAATTGAGTTCCCATTTAAATCGTGGAAATGGTACTTGATGTGTTATTTGCTTCCAGAAATGTTTGATTAGCCAATTCCTGACCTTCATTCTATTTGCACCAAAATTGGAAGGTCAGGGACTGTCATGTCTTATCTCTTCAACTCATGCTTTTGTGGCTTTGTTCATTATAGATGCTCAATAAATAGGTGTGGGAAATGAGCGGAATCATTGGTGATTGTTGTGCAAAGGTGAGACATTTCTGAATGCTAATGGAGTACTTAGAGATGAGTAATTCTGTTTTAAATCTGATGATGATTAATAGTACCATAGAGCACTAAATAAACATTTATTAAATGTGAGCAAATGTTTAAGAGGGGAATTTTTCATGTAGTCTTTAGCTAAGGCACTAGCGTTTCTCCCTTGAATTCTTTGAGACTAAGAACAACTTGATATTTTTAAGCAAAGTCTTTGCTTAAAACTTGAACTTCTGCAGGTATTAACAAGTGGTTCTTTTTGATGCAGAACAGAAAGGAGAGCGTTTATCTCCTACACTGACTGAACTAAGCAGCGTGTGTGAAGGGGTAGAGTGGGGGTGGGCATTGCAATGCATGCGGTGATCACCGGGGTCCTTGTGAAGTGTGGATCTGGACGTCTCCATTTCTGCCAAGCTCCCCCACCCCACCATGTCCTGTACCAGGAAGGTTGTGGGGCACGCACTGCGATTCATGACACTGAAGTAGACCAGATGATCCACAGCGTGGGCGATGCCTCACATCCTGGAAGCAGGGATGATCTGAAATAGGGAGAGGCTGATTCTCTGTAGATGGCAGATGAGGTCTGAAGGTGCCTCAGGTAGAGAATGCTACTCTGGAGGATGGGGGCCGAAGAGGCAAAGGGAATTTTCTGGAAGAATTTCCACATGGCTGTCCTTGACCTGGGGTTGTGTTTGAATGGAGACCTTTGTGACTTGGCAGGAAATAAAATGTAGATTTGAAAGCCAGACAAACCTGGGATACCTCCCTGCTCAGCTACTTGGTGACTTGTAGTTTTGTAGGCTTCCTGTCAGAAAAATAGGGCAAATAAAGCCCATCCTTTACCAGGTTTCTAGGATTGCAAATAGAAGATATGGGTGAGGCCTAGCATGGATTAGGCCTGTCTGCCTGCTATTAGGAGAGAGGGGGCTAGGAAGCAAGGTGGATGAGGCCTTTTTCTGTAAATATTTTCCCATGTAGTTCGCCAGCTGGAGATTCTGTTTGGTTAACCCGTAAAGTTAAGGCAGGTGGTTGAGAACCAGGCTGGGTCGGGCTGAGGGCAGGCTCTGTAGCGTGGATCCAATGCACAGTGGAAGAACTCCACCTTCTCCTGCGGTCCCTTGGTTAGCTTTGTTGCTAACACTTCTGGAAGTATTGTCACCTGAGGCTGTGCCCAGCACTTAACCCATAGGTCCTGTGGATCTGTGCGTGGAGACAGTGTTTCCGGTCATCAGCTATTCCTTAAAAATGCAATGGAAGGAGGAGGGCAAGCACTTGTCCTCTTTGAGAGGCGTTGAACTGTTCCCTGGCAGGGTGTTCTTTTGTTTTGTTTTGTTTTGTTTTGTTTTGTTTTGTTTTGTTGTTTTGTCTTTTTGAGGCAGAGTCTTGCTATGCAGTTCAGGCTATCCCTTGAGCTTACTTTGCAGCCCCTGCTGGTCTCAAACTTGCAGGGATCGTCCTCCTGGCAGGCCCCTTAAAGGACTAAAGCCATCTAATAATCCTTTCAACTTAGTAAAAAATACCTGACTTTTGTGTGTATTTGCCATTCTGTACTCAGATAAGGGCTTCCTCTTGACATCTAGGGGAGATAGAAATGCCAGAGCAGTTAAATCCTTCACGCCGATCTAAGGAGAAGTAGTCTGGGTACTCCTAAAGATACTTCAACCAACAGCATTTGCTTTCCCTTTGTATATTATGGGTTGCACTTGTTATTGGCAAAGGAAATGCTTGGCTACTCACCCCCCCCCTCCCTGGTCCCCTAAAGATAAGTCTCAGAAACCCAAATTCCAAAATGGTGGCAATGGCAGTTTGATGTTTCAGAACAAGGGAAAATAGAAAAACTGGGAGACAGGGAAAGAGGGCAGGAAGGACAGAGACTGGAGCAGAGGGGCCCAGGTGGGAGTGGGTCCCAGAGCCCATGCTGGTGGCCTTCGCTGTCTTGATGTAAGACTGTGTCCATCTCCCAGGGCATTGAAAATCATCCAGGCTCCCAGTTATCATGAGACCATCTGCAGACGGGTACAGAGCCAAGCAGATTGATTCCCCCAGCCTCTTCAGAACCAAAAATGCACCCTACGGTTTCACCAAAATCAATTTATACTCCTTGATAAACCAACTATTAAAATCAGGATGTCACTTTAAAACAGTATTTTCTGTGTGTCAAAGTCTGTCACATAGTTTTGGAAAACACAGAAAAGAATAAAGAAAATGAACATTGCCCAGTTTTCTGGGTATATTTCTTTTCAGTCACTTTTCTAAGCATTAAAACATTTTTATATTTGATGCTTAGACAATTACATGGATATGATCCTGCAGACATTTTCAGATGAAACAGAACCCACTCTAGTAAAAAGGAAAGGATCCCCTCCCTCCATTTCTGTGGCCTTCCCAGAACTGTTTTACTTTTTTGGCCTGGAGGAAACCTGGTTTGAAAGTGTACATGTCTCAGGAAGTAAATTCTGATTGGCCTTTGTCAGTGATTGGCTTGGGGTAAGGACAGGACCCTGCCCTAGCCAGTAAAATTGAGGTGGGCAGCCTGGAGGATTCTGGGAAATAAGAGGCAAGAAAAGAGGCCATTTTTACCTTCCATTGGATACTATAGTGTTGTAGACTTAGTGCTTGTTAGCTGGGCAGCCATCAACAACTATCAGAGTGGTAGAGCCAGGTCCCAGCTGACTTGCAGAAGCCTACAAAGATGAGGACTAGGGCCTTTGATCTTCTGAATTTCCCGAGAAGTTTGATTTAAAATCTTGAAACCTTCATTGTCATGAGCACCAGGCCCAGTTAGAGTTTCTGTTGGTTTTAGCCAAAAGCATTCTATTCATACCATAACTCTGTACCCTTCTCAAGAGGTAACAACTACAGTTAGCCATGTAATGAGTTCTACTGGTCATTTTTTGGTACATTTACATGTACAAATATACACATGTGTGCTTATTTTTAAAACAGAACTCATTCCATGCTATTAGTGACTTTTGAAAAAATCAACTATATGGCATGGAATTTTCTTTTAGGTCATT